CAGCGGCCACGGGGGCGGATCCGACTCGAGCTTAGGTAGGTCGGAGCGGACAGTCTCGGGCTATGTGGCCCGGCGTGTAACAAACGCTCATATTTGTCGCTGCTCCGCCCATGGCCTTTGCGGGGGTGATTCCTGGTGCACCTGGTGCGGCTCTAACGGCAATGGGGCGTATCGACCACATTAATATGATTATATCCGGGCATTGTACTCACATTGTTCCTTCTTGCTTTCCGGCATCAAGTTAACTAATGTTCGGGTTAGTTCCAGTATGGCACTCGATTCGTTTGGCCTTGCCAAGGAGTCCGAGGAAGGAGCGGAGGCGAACATAACCGGTGCAGACAATCCCGTAACTGCATCTGGTACTAGTCTCTTGGCTGCGATTTGTTCAAGATAGGTGACACGACCAGAGACGAAGCCCATGTTTTCAAATTTGTTTTGAAGTGCAGTTAGCTCGGCCTTTGCTCTGGCCAGTTGTAAGGAATCCCCTTCCCTGGGGTAATCCTCTCCCTCTAGGAAACTGGCGGCAAATTTTTGTTTCATTTCTTCCGCCGCGGTCATGATCTATTGGAGGGTATGATTAATCGGGAAGAACTGTTTTCACGGTTTCTCCCTCATTGTCCTGCTACGGAGCCCGTCGATGAATAGATCTCTCCCGACTTCTTCCCCTCTCTGTGTTTTGATGAACATTCTATAGAACCTATTACGATATTCAGTAACGGACTCAATCCGGGCTTGAGGGGAGGACGGCTCCTCTGGTGTCTAGATCCTGTTAGGTATAAAAGTTGGTATAGAGCTTTGGTGTAGAGTGTGGAGCTGTCAGGATGCCATGGCGTAAGAGTGCAACGCACTCCCTACCCACTAAAGGGCTAGGCTATGCCAGGGCACTGTCACCATAGCTCTCACACAGCTATGGTGCCTGGCAGGGTAGGCGCCTCGTGAAAAGATCAGCGTCCACATGGCCCAACATGGCATCCTACTCAGCTGCCGCCGACGACCGGGCGCCGCCACCGCCACTATCGCCGCGCACATTTCGTGCGGCCCCCGGGGTTCGAGTTTGAAAATGCACTTGAGGCAAAAAGACCGCTAATGGTGAATGTATATAACCTAGGTTTCGGGTCGGTGGGGTCACGTGGGGGTGTGTGTGTTCCCGAGATTGCCTGAAGTGCATTTTCAAACTGTTTTCGTGACTGCGCCGAAGTTACCCCTCTTTTCTTAACATCCTTGAAGGTGGCCAAATGCACCGGCCACAATTTTGTCTTTTTCAGATTTCGACAGTGGTGTGGAGAGGCCTTAAGGAATTTCACAGTTCGGGAACTCTCCAACCCTGGAGAGTGCTTTTCTATGGTGGTTTCTGACAGCTATGRGAGTTTTTTTGGGGTGGTGAATGAGAGAGTTAGGGCTGGACCCCACAGGCCAAAATCTTGGAAAACGGGCGACRCGAGTGCTTTTCTCGGACCCCACTGGAAGAAAGCGGGTTCCTGGAAAGTGTTTTTTTTGTCRCGTTTTCCTCTTCCCGGGACCCCATAGTCTCGAAAAGTGTTCGTGGAAGATGGCACATTGACGTTTCCACATGTGGTTTCGGTCCGAAATGTGTCATTTTCCGTAGTTGACGCACGATTTTGTGGCAAACGGACTGGGTAGGGGGGGGGGGGCTGGAAAAGTCTGGAAAACTTCGTTGCACGACCCGGGTCCATGGAGTGTCCGGTAGGTGGCACCTTGCGTTCCAGCGCCCAGGAGGCGGACAAGGAGACTGTCGCACGGGGCGAATGGACCGAACGGGAAGGGGACCGTTTTTCCCCGCATTTTTTTTTTTTTTTTTTTTTTTTCCGGCATACCACGACGGCGGGCTCCAATTTCAAATTTGAAATTACGAACGGCTGTGCATGGCCCCTTGTGCGCTGTGCAGCCGACGTAAACCTTCCCTGTAAACTGCATGAAGACACCATCGCCACACTACACACAGACGCACACCAGTTCCACACACCTGCCTGCAATGCGTGTTGTTGCACCCGCGCTTCGTCGCAGGTCCTGTTTTTGGCCCGACTGCCATTTCCTGCAGGGGTGGCCAGCGCTGTCGACAACCCACATACATGCACGACACGGCTCCCCTGCGCACACTCGCCCTCCTCCTCCCATGAATCTCGCCCCCCCTCGGTGTGGCCTCTTCTTTCGTCCGTTCTCTGCTCCGCCGCCGGTTGTGCATTCTGGAGAGACGAAGTGTGCGATGAAGTTCCACGTCGAATTCCCCAACCTTTCGCCTCCGCCATGCACCTTGGCGGCTGCGCTGCCACCGCCAATCAGACGGCAAACCGGGGCCCCGATTGATCGATGTAAGGTCGATGGGCAAAGACCACGTGTGGGAGGTGCTGCGGATGGACCGATCGACTGTCGGGCAATGTGTGTGGAGGGTGCTCCGGCGGGGAATGTCATCTGCCACTTGTGTGGGACGCCTTGTGCATGTTGCATGCCACAGGTGGTGATAACCTGCCCTCGATACGAGTGTTTGCCGCTGTTGTTGGTTTGCTGTGGCGTTGGAGGCGCCATCATCATCACGGCAGTCATCTTCTTCCTGTTTGGTTTGATACTGTTTTTGGTTGCCGTTGTGGCTATTGCGTACATCATATTAAGGCTGTCACTTCATAAGTGAGAGAGAGAGAGAGAGAGAGAGAGAGAGAGAGAGAGAGAGAGAGAGAGAGAGAGAGAGACATGGACGGAGGGGGGTTCACGTCGGAGCTGATGGCCGATTACGACGACCCAGCAACGATGGAGCTGGGACATGCAGGGGACACACGTTACAAGGAGCGTCGTGACGGTCGACATGCATACGGGGGGTCAGAAGAGTGCGTGGACAGCCATGCCGACCAATACAGGTCGGTACACCGTGGTGGAGGGCGAAGTTGGTGTCAAACACAGTTTGACGTTGTCGAACACGGAGTGCAGCCTCAGTCACGGTACACACCATCGGGTCCGGGAGGTGGTTGTCATGTATCAGGTCCGGGTGGCGATCATGGAGGATCGTCTGACGTGGATGCACTTTCGTATTGCAGGATGCAGGAAGCTGGCGACCTGTCTCGCCCGGGATTCTTGCCTGTGTTCGGCTTGTGGGGACGTGGCGACGGGCAGGAGGGTCATGCACGAGCTTGGCGTGGAGCGCAGAACGAGAATCAGCCGGCATCTCCATTTGGCATGCAACTGAGACTGGGAACCACGGGGCAGCAGCGTCCGCCATCACCGACTGCCAACTGGAATGTGAATGACGTCACTGACGTGGGTTCTCGTCAAAGGCTGATGAATAGTCTTAGCCGATCATCGTCCTCTCCACCGGTGCATCGGCCGACAGTCGCAGATGGTCTGCAGTCTGCAGGCAGCATGCAAGTGGGAGTCGGTCATGGAACGTCCGCGGGGTGGCGGGCAGGGCACGACGCACCGGGATCCACAGTGGGTGGTGGGAGATGTGACTTCCCGGCAGAAGAAACAAGGCAGCCTTGTAGTAAGGTTCATACATCTGACGACCGGCGCAGCAGTCCGGTTGTCGACCGACCTCAAAAGGAGACAGAATCTTCGACGAGAAAGAGACGTGGCAGTGATGCGACGCCCACATCCAGTCTCGCACAAGCGGGGGCCGCCCCGTCGACGGCAGAAAACAGCCAAGGAGGGAGGGGTGGCCAGTCCAGACGGGCTTCCCAACCAGAGGGCACGACGAAGAAACATGTGCCTTGGTCGTTGGAGGAGCGTGTCATGCTGGCGAGGATCTGCGGCGAGGACGATGCTCTCATGGCTGATGCGAGCGGTGTGCATAAGCACAAGACGAAGCAGGGGCGATTCCAGTGGATCTCCGACCGCATGCGTGACGAGAACTTCTTTAGGACATCGGAAGAGTGCAGGAAGAAATGGAACTCTATGAGGGACACGGTTGCTTTGATCAGGGACAAGTGTGAAAGATCGGGTTCGGCCGGGTATTTCAACATGACGACGGAGGAGCGAAAGGAAAGGGAGGTGTGCTCGGCGTTTGAACGGCCTTTGTGGGATGCTATGGAGTGGTGGCGCCTGAAGGCGTCCACCACATGTGACAACACCTTAGCGTCTGAGGAGCTCGGGGGAAGTGGTTCTGGGAAGGCTTGCGGGGGGGGATCGGAAGGGGGATGCATGGATGCATCGGACGCCGGGACGAAGACACGCAGGACATCCTCCGGTAGAGCACGCAGCGAGGCGACGGCATCGAATGTTGGAATGATGACAGCGATGGAGGATTCCACGACGAGGCTATGTGATGGAGTGGACAGAGCGTCATCTGCGTTGGCACGTGCAACAACTGAAAGCACAGCGATGGTTTCTTTCCGGATGGGTGACATGGCGGTCCAAATCGGCGCTGTTGCCGGCGCCATGCAGGATGGGAACATGGTCCTGCAAAGTCTCATGGCAGTCATGGCGGTGAGGTCAGCACCTTCCATGCCGCGCGCAGCACCCCGGCGGTGGTGTGGAGACAGACCCTTCATCCAAGTGAATAGCGCGTCGTCCTTTCATCGTCGGGGGGTGGGTGGGTGAATTCAGCGCGGGTTAGGGGGTGTGTGTTTGTCAGGGGGTGGGTGGGTTTCTGCCTAATGTGAACCCCAAACAACCCCCCACCCCCTAACCCTAAGTTTTTTGGGTTTTTTTTTTTCACATTTTCTGTTGTCAGAGGGCCATCGGAACCGATGTCAGCAGCACCTGTGCGTGTGTGTGTATCGACGTGGATGGCGTGAAGCGCATGGCCAGAATCCGGATGGGGGTGGGGAAAAAAACAAACCAAAATAGAATAACATTTTAAAAGGAACATGAACAAGGGGGAAACAAAAAAAAGTCGTTGAAAAGCGACCGACCTCCGGTGCTACCCGCGGATGCGTTTCAGCCAAGAGACTTCGTGGCAACCACGGCTGCATGCCCGTATATAGGCCGCCAATTGCCGCCTGTGAGTGGAAGGACGACAGTGCGGAGGACTCCGGAGGTGGGCTCCGCTCATCGTGCACTTTGTTGCGTCTGCTGTGCAACCCGACGGTGTGTGTGTGTGTGTGTGTGTGTGTGTGTGTGTGTGTGTGTGTGTGTGAGAGAGAGAGAGAGAGAGAGAGAGAGAGAGAGAGAGAGAGAGAGAGAGAGA